GGGGGGGGGGCGTATTCTGGAGTTCAGTACGTACCGTAGGTGACATGACACAAGATACCACACACCCCGGGCCAGTTTTCGAACCTCGATCCCTCCACGATGAAGAGGCTTCGATGCGTACATGAAACGATGAGCCTTCGGAGAGCTCCCCAAGAGACGGCTCGAACGCCTCTACTGTGTGCACCGTCTCTCCAGGTTCCACGATGCCGTGTACGAGCTTTGAAGAGTACACGGCATCGTGGAACCCGGAGAGATCGTGTAGAAGGTAGCGGCGTTGGGACCGTCACCTCGAAAGCTTTTCGATAACATTTTATTTGATGTCGGCGCCCTCTTCGTCCTTGTTGAAATTTTAAAGTCGGTCCAAGGGGGTTGTGATACATATGGTGAGGAAAGTCTTGTTCTCTTACGTACAATTCTAGCAGCACGAAGTTGGCAGCACTGGCCAAAACGTTTCTGCCGTGGATAAGTCTTGTTCTGGTTCTCAGACGACGATTATTGTCTGGCGGTTGATTTCGTTGTGAAAGTCGACGTGCCTGTTTGCTGCACGCGGTGTGCCTCACAGCAGCCACTTGGCGGTTGTGTCACGTACGTACATTACAACAGCTCTCCGGATCTCCATTGCTGAACACGTTCCCGTAGAACACCAGCTGGAATTACGTTTTGAATCGCCTCGAGCAAGCACTTGCCAGACGTGATCATATCGTAACTCACCATCCCTCTCCCCTTGGGTACTGTACCTGCATGTCCTCCCACCCCCATCCCCATGCTGTAGCCAAGCACCTATGACCAAACCGTTACGTGAGGGTCCACCGACTGAATTTTCCAAGTCAGGAAATAGGGTGCTTTACCGTAGGGGACATGACATGAGAGACCAGACCCCCCTGGATGTATTTTCAAAGCTCGATCACTGCACGACGAACATGTTTATCTGAAACGATGTATGTTCGGACAGGTCTCCAAGAGACGGCTCCAAAGCCGCTACTTTCTGCACGATCACTCTAGGTTCCACGATGCCGTGTACGAGCTTTGAAGAATCTTCGACGCTCGTACACGGCATCGTGGAACCTGGAGAGATCGTGCAGAAAGTTGCGGCGTTGGGACCGTCACCTGGAAGCTTTCGATAACATTTTAGTTGATGTCGACGCCCTCTTCGTCCTAGTTGAAGTTTGAAAGCCGGTCCAAGGGGGTTGTGATACCTAGGGTGGGGAAAGTCTTGTTCTCTTACGTACAATTCTAGCAGCACGAAGTCGGCATCACTGGCCAAAACGTTTCTGCCGTGGATAAGTCTTGCTGGTCCTCAGACGACGATTATTGTCTGGCGATTGATTTCGTTCTGGAGGTCGATGTGCCTGTTTACTGTAAGCGGTGTGCCTACACAGCAGGAGCCCCTAACGGTTGTGTCACGTACGTACAGTACAACAGACAGCTCTACTTCGGATCTCCATTGCTGCACACGTTCCCGGACAAAACCAGCTGGAATTGCGTGTTGAATTGCCTCGAGCAAGCATCTGCCAGACGTGATTATATCCTAAACCACCACCCTCTCCCCTTGGACTGTTGCTATCATGCTGCCGTACTGCCGTAGACTACTGCTGTACGTGTATGTCCTCCCGCCGCCCCCATCCCCATGATGTAGCCAAGCAGCCATGGCCAAATCGTTACGTGATGGTCCATCGACTGAATTTTCACGTCAGGGAATGGGGTGCCTTACCGTAGGGGACATGATATCTAACATTAGATACCAGACCCCCCTGGACCGATTTTCAATGCTCGAATACTCCACGATGAAGAGGATGCGTATATGAAACGACCCGTGTCCGGAAAGGTCTCGATGGGACTGCTCCAACGCCGCCGTTTTCGGCGCTGCTACGCTTTCTGCTGTGGAGAAAAGGTGCTTTGAGAATTGGTCCAGGGGGTGTGATGTCACGACGTACGGTGTATGTATGTGGGGCTTACGAAGGGCTGTTCGCTGGTTAGTGCAAGGAAGGTTACAACGTGTGTGTAAAAGGCTTCCTTGCATCTCGCCGTGCCTCCCCGCGTCGGATTCCTGACTGTCATGGTGAACCAAAAAAAGCGCACGATGCACGATTCTTTTTCCTCTTTTCGTGCCACCACCCCTACCCCACTCCGGCGTTCACGCACCGCCTCTCGTTGTTGTGTTTTTTTTACGTTCTCTTGCGGCATATGTATGGTCCCCATGATCGTTCGTTGCCCCTGGTCAGGAATCCGTGGTGTTTTTCAGGCAGCGAGAGGTGACGCGGCTAGCTGTCGTGGGTTTTTGCCTGGGGGCGGATATCCTCCTCGAGTGCGCGGCGATAGATGTGAGCGGCAGCGAAGGGGTACAACACCACGTTGCTCCGTCAGAGACCTTGCTTCCTTGCGCACGTTGCCTCTGTTGGGGTTGGTGTTGGTATGCAGGTATTGGGGGTTGTGGGGATGTTGGTGACCTGTGTTGGAATCTATGTCTGGTCATTGCAATCTTGTTTTTTTTTTTTCTTGTCTCCCATTATTGGCCTCTGTCGTCTGCCCCTCTGGCCCCTACCCTCCACTTCTACCAGCTAGACGACCCAAGCGGGGTAACATAGGAGGGGGGTTGGACCCCCTCCTGCGGTTCCTGCCTGAGATATTTTTATCGCGAGAAGGGTACAGCAATCCCTTCCCTCGCGACTTATGAAGTCGATCAAGTTTACTAACGACGAGCGTTGCAGCGCGTCGCTCCCAACGGAGACCAGGATTTAATTTGCGAGAAAATCTCACTCTGTTGGGACTCGAACCCATGACCTGGCCCTTAGCAGGCTGCGAGGCTACCCACGAGACCTTGTATGTAGTGTGCCGGCGACGTTGTGTTGAAGTCGAGATTATTATTAATAAAGTACTTGTTGTGATGTTGGTGCTGCTGCTCCAAATTGCGTTCTCATCATGGATCCCGGCTGGCAACAAAAACGCGCGCCAATCATACAATCAGCCCTTCTCGGCATGCCCGTAGTCCCTGCTGCCGCGTTCCACGGTGTTCTTCCTGGCCGCTGTGCACTGCTCTACCTTGGATGTACACGTACCCCACTCGCATATATGTTTTGTTTTTTCCGCACCACACGAACCGAGGACAGGGTTTGTTTGACGCCGGGGTGGCGTTTTATCCGACGGCGCCTTCCGCTGGAGCCCGAACACGCATCCCGACTCTTTTGGTGTTTGGTGGAAACGACGACGCCTGCCCCCCTGAAACGGTGAGATGTCTTGGTGCCCCCAACCCCCCCTGACCCAAGGTAATGAATGAACTTCTTCCCCCTGCTGTCCCTGTCGCTCAATGGTAAAAGCTTCAGATTTGCCGACAAGTCACGCTGTTTTCGGAACGAGTAATGTTCAAATCAAGAAAAAAGCATCAAGAGAGTGGTGACGAGTCGAACGGAGAGTGCGTACTCTGCAAGTTGGTCCTTCACGACCACACCAGAGCGTCCGAAACAAAGCTTGGCGCAACTCTCCCAACCCGCAAAACCGTGCACGTTATTAATATGAAAAGTGTGCACACTTTGCAGCGAGAGCAATCAAGGAGATGAGACGCAGGTGCGCAGAAGTGCTGCTGCAATCGTCGTGCTGGAACGCACGCTTAAGGATAACGAGCTCCGCTCGAGCCCAAGGCAGGACAAAAATGCAGGGTTTGTGTGCACTCCGCGTTGCTGATGCAAGGCCATGGACACCGATTCATCTGTTCTCTGCACTTGCCTCCAGCTCGTCGTTGCATATGGTCAGTCGTCTTGGTGGTCAAAACGCCGACGCCAGAGTCGCATGGCGTACCCCGCCGTCCTCCTCTCCCTCCCCTCCCTCCTCTCACTCGCCCGCCCCCCCTCCCTCTTTTCCCTTTCTCCCGTGCTTCGTTTGGCCTACACTGGCGGTATTCCCGAGAAGGTGGCGTCGCTGCAGGCTAGTCTTGTCACCGGGGGCACCGTGAGCGAGGCAATAACCATTCCTGGCCAGCCACACAATTTCGTGCTTAAGGGAGGGGATGCGCAGGTGAAGCCCCCCCCCCCCCCCCCCCCCCCCCCCCCCCCCCCCCCCCCCCCCCCC